AATTCCAACATCATTAGATGTTGATATTTTGTTGGTTTTAGGTTGTGGTATTAACTAACCAAAATACAACGTCATGCCAACGTCTCCTGACAACGTCATATTTACGTCAAAAACTGACATTTAGTCGTGAGGTATGGTGACCAAAACCCAACATGTTCTTAACGTGATAATGCATCGTCCACACAACGTCAAATTCTAACATCATTAGACGTTGATATTTTGTTGGTTTCAGGTTGTGGTATTAACTTAACCAAAATACAACGTCAAGCCAACGTCTCCTGAGAACGTCATATTTACGTCAAAAACTGACATTTAGTCGTGAGGTATGGTGACCAAAACCCAACATGTTCTTAACGTCATAATGGTAACGTCCACACAACGTCAAATTTTAACATCATTAGACGTTGATATTTTGTTGGTTTCAGGTTGTGGTATTAACTAACCAAAATACAACGTCATGCCAACGTCTCCTGACAACGTCATATTTACGTCAAAAACTGACATTTAGTCGTGAGGTATGGTGACCAAAACCCAACATGTTCTTAACGTCATAATGCATCGTCCACACAACGTCAAATTTTAACATCATTAGACGTTGATATTTTGTTGGTTTCAGGTTGTGGTATTAACTAACCAAAATACAACGTCAAGCCAACGTCTCCTGAGAACGTCATATTTACGTCAAAAACTGACATTTAGTCGTGAGGTATGGTGACCAAAACCCAACATGTTCTTAACGTCATAATGCAACGTCCACACAACGTCAAATTTTAACATCATTAGACGTTGATATTTTGTTGGTTTCAGGTTGTGGTATTAACTTACCAAAATACAACGTCAAGCCAACGTCTCCTGAGAACGTCATATTTACGTCAAAAACTGACATTTAGTCGTGAGGTATGGTGACCAAAACCCAACATGTTCTTAACGTCATAATGGTAACGTCCACACAACGTCAAATTTTAACATCATTAGACGTTGATATTTTGTTGGTTTCAGGTTGTGGTATTAACTTACCAAAATACAACGTCATGCCAACGTCTCCTGAGAACGTCATATTTACGTCAAAAACTGACATTTAGTCGTGAGGTATGGTGACCAAAACCCAACATGTTCTTAACGTCATAATGGTAACGTCCACACAACGTCAAATTTTAACATCATTAGACGTTGATATTTTGTTGGTTTCAGGTTGTGGTATTAACTTACCAAAATACAACGTCAAGCCAACGTCTCCTGAGAACGTCATATTTACGTCAAAAACTGACATTTAGTCGTGAGGTATGGTGACCAAAACCCAACATGTTCTTAACGTGATAATGCATCGTCCACACAACGTCAAATTCTAACATCATTAGACGTTGATATTTTGTTGGTTTCAGGTTGTGGTATTAACTTACCAAAATACAACGTCAAGCCAACGTCTCCTGAGAACGTCATATTTACGTCAAAAACTGACATTTAGTCGTGACGTATGGTGACCAAAACCCAACATGTTCTTAACGTCATAATGGTAACGTCCACACAACGTCAAATTTTAACATCATTAGACGTTGATATTTTGTTGGTTTCAGGTTGTGGTATTAACTAACCAAAATACAATGTCATGCCAACGTCTCCTAACAAAGTCATATTTATGTCAAAAACTGACATTTAGTCGTGAGGTATGGTGACCAAAACCCAACATGTTCTTAACGTGATAATGCATTGTCCACACAACGTCAAATTCTAACATCATTAGACGTTGATATTTTGTTGGTTTCAGGTTGTGGTATTAACTTATCAAAATACAACGTCAAGCCAACGTCTCCTGACAACGTCATATTTACGTCAAAAACTGACATTTAGTCGTGAGGTATGGTGACCAAAACCCAACATGTTCTTAACGTGATAATGCATCGTCCACACAACGTCAAATTTTAACATCATTAGATGTTGATATTTTGTTGGTTTTAGGTTGTGGTATTAACTAACCAAAATACAATGTCATGCCAACGTCTCCTGACAACGTCATATTTACGTCAAAAACTGACATTTAGTCGTGAGGTATGGTGACCAAAACCCAACATGTTCTTAACGTGATAATGCATCGTCCACACAACGTCAAATTTTAACATCATTAGACGTTGATATTTTGTTGGTTTCAGGCTGTGGTATTAACTAACCAAAATACAATGTCATGCCAACGTCTCCTAACAAAGTCATATTTATGTCAAAAACTGACATTTAGTCGTGAGGTATGGTGACCAAAACCCAACATGTTCTTAACGTCATAATAGTAACGTCCACACAACGTCAAATTTTAACAGACGTTGATATTTTATTGGTTTCAGGTTGTGGTATTAACTAACCAAAATACAACGTTAAGCCAACGTCTCCTGAGAACGTCATATTTACGTCAAAAACTGACATTTAGTCGTGAGGTATGGTGACCAAAACCCAACATGTTCTTAACGTGATAATGCATCGTCCACACAACGTCAAATTCTAACATCATTAGACGTTGATATTTTGTTAGTTTCAGGTTGTGGTATTTACTAACCAAAATACAACATCAAGCCAACGTCTCAACACAACGTCCTATGACAAACATTTATTTGTGATGTGTGGTGACCAAACCCCAACATCATGTTGACGTCATAATGTTGATGTCCGCACAATGTCAAATTCTGAAAACATTAGATGTTGTTATTTTATTGGTTTTAGGTTGTGGTATTAACTAACCAAAATACAACGTCAAGCCAACATCTTGAGACAATGTCATATTTACGTCAAACATTGACATTTAATCGTTAGGTATGGTGACCTTAAAAATCTTAAAAATCTCCTTAACGTCATAATGATAACTTCAACACAATGTCAAATTCTAACATCATTAGACGTTGATCTTTTGTTATTTTTAGGTTGTGTTGTAAAGTAACTAAAATCCAACGTTGAGCCAATGTTTCAAACCAATATCACATTGACGTCAAATACTGACATTTAGTGGTGAGGTATGGTGACCAAAATCAAACGCCACCTTGATGTCATTATGGTAACGTCCATATAACGTCAATTCTAACATCATTAGACGTTAATATTTTGTTGGTTTTAGGTTGTGATTTAACTAACCAAAATACAATATCAAACCAACATCTCCAGACAATGTCATATTTAAGTCAAACATTGACATTTAGTCGTTATGTATGGTGACCACAACCTAACATCTCCTTAACGTCATAACATCCACACAATGTCAAATTCTAACATCATTAGACGTTGATCTTTTATTATTTTAAGGTTGTGTTGTAAAGTAACTAAAATCCAATGTTGAGCCAACGTCTCAAACCAACATCATATTGTTGTCAAATACTGACATTTAGTCATGAGGTATAGTGACCAAAAATCCACGTCTCTTCAACGTCATTATGGTAACGTCCATATAACGTTAAATTCTAACATCATTAGACGTTGTTCTTTTGTTATTTTTAGGTTGAGTTGTAAAGTATCTAAAATCCAACATTGAGCCAACGTTTCAAGCTAACGTCATAATGATGTCAAATACTATGTTTTGTTGGGTCACAATCTCACTTCTAAATTGTCATGAGGTACAGTATGGTGGTCTAAACCCAGCAATGTCACTATGTTAACATCTAGACAACACAACATTCCATTATTAGATGTTTTTGTTTTGTTGACTGCACATCATGGTTAGCCTACTAAACAAAACACAAATGTCAGCATGCTAATGTACATATACATCTTAAATAGGATACATCAACATTAGACATATTTGGTATGATTTCAGTTGTGTCTTGGGTAAGAGAAATTCAATGTCTAAAATACACTAACTTCATACTTATGAATAATTCAGACTGAAGTCTTTGTGACCTAAACGTCAAACTTACTGTAAGCATTGCTCTTTATTGGTGATAGTTTGGATTATCCATAGATTTTCTTGTTCATGCAAGTGTAATAGATCAAGTTGACCCAGTGTGTTCCCTGTCAGAAGAACAAGCTCTTCACCAGGAGTGTGCTGATCTAAAAATGAATGAAGTACTACATGCAAGCATGCAACTGAAAGACTGAAGGTGTGCCCAACACACATTGGTTTGGGATTTATTAATGGTTTATTCTTATGTCTACAATAATGAATCATGAACCACCCTGTGTTATTTTGCATATTTACAAAAAAAATCAGCTGGGTTGATGCTCAAAATTATGTTGTTTGCAGGTGTATACAGTACACTTTATTCAATTTGGAGAAGCACATTCCCGGCAAGATTTACATTCTCACAAGAGGGAAAGACTTTATGGTTCAAAATTGGATGATCTACATTATGGAACAGCAAATAAGTTGTGCATTTGGGTAATCAAAATCTCGGTAACACTTTACAATAAGGTTCATTAGTAACTACATACATTAACTAAGAATAAAAAATACTTCTTCAGCATTTGTTAATTTCAACATTTACTAATATTTTATTAAAATCTTGTTAACATTAGTTAGTGCACTGTGAACTAACATGAACAAGCAATGAACAACTGGATTTAAATGTATTGCTCATGGTTAGTTCATGTTAGTTAATACATTAACTAATGTTTAATAAATGAACCTTATTGTAAAGTGTTTCCAAAATCTCCAAAGTCACAATACAGCAGTTTATTGGAGACTAATGAATTCAGAATTCAGGCAGTGACAGGGTAACAGTATGAGTAATCATCTGTATAGCATATGTCCAACAACCTGACAGTTTTATCTTTTTAATTAGGGCTACTTATCAGGTGAGTTGGACCTCATGGACCTGAAATTTTAGTTATAGCGTATATAACACATATGGCCTTCATTTGGATTCCATGAGAAACAGACATACATTGCACCCAATTTCTTTATCAAGTTGTGCTTAACAGTGCAGCTGTCAGACAAACGCAGTAGTTATTTTTAATAATGATAATAATATGAATAACAATAATAATAAAATCAATTTAGCCTATTGAAGTGTGCAACAGTTTTTAGAATGTTGCAGGTAACCCAAGAAATTTTAAATGAATCCCTAACCAATCACAGTTAGGCATCAATTTGAAATTAATTCCTAACCAATCACAGTTAGGCATCAATTTCCTCCGCTCTACCCTCTTGTGGGAAAGACGAAGACCTCTCACCCGTTCCACTCCACTCCAGCAGCCATTATACTGTCTGCGCGGGCACTGGCCTGCACAACTTTCAACATCTGGATATACCTGCTGTGGAAGGTGAGTGAACAGAGGTAACGAAAATATAAATAAATATTGGTGTTTATTAGTTTTATTTTATTATATGTGGACTGGGCTGCGCGAGAATTTCTACCTGGCCTACTATTTAACTACCAAAGTAACAGTTACCTAGTTGATGTAGTTAAAAGTGACTTTTATATAATAACTAACTACTAGTACAAGTAGTGATATAGGAATGATCCCTCAGCGCACATTTGTCAGACTGAAATGCACGTGCGCCGGCTGTCCGGTTCGCTGGGGGTATGGCCGCTGTTGTTGGAGGAGTCGGGAAACGACTAGCATGTGAATGCATTAATTTATATTAATTTTACAGAGCCCTTCACATGACACGCAAAATATATACACAGTATATATTTTTTTACATAGTGGCTATAACGTTACTTGTCCTTATTTGTCGTGGATTCTAGATCACTGTTGTAAAATGTGCTTGTGGGACGTCAATGTAAGTTATAAGGATTTTCGACAGCCAATTTTAAAATACAAAGAAATAAGCTTAATAATGATATGATTAAATGTTTATTTATCTAGATGAATTGGCAGTAGCCTTAAAAAATGTCATGTGGTCCGAATGTGATTTATTTTATTTTATTTCCTGCTTAACCATTTTATTTTTTACAAGTTCTGGTAACGCTTTACAATACGGGTGCACTTAAGTAGGGCTGCAACTAACGATTATTTTGATAATCGATTAATCGGACGATTATTTTTTCGATTAATCGATTAATCGGATAAAAAATTATATTCCATTTTTTTGTTTATTATAACAAAATAAAACCCTAAAAACCACACTCTTTTGTGTGTTAAACAATCTACTTAATACAGACAACTTCATTATAAAGAGAAACAACAAATAAAATAATATATATGACCATAACCTATGACAAAAATGCTATTGTAAACTAGATTAGTGGATAAACTCAGCAAAACTTAGCCTAGAAATATCACAAGTGCACAATAATTTTATAAAATCTGAACATTTAGTGGAAAAAAAACATTCCTTAGTGGGGAACAAATAAGAGACAATAAGTGTAGCACTAACAATGGTAAAACGTACACATTGCTTTGTATTGTTGTTATACATTCATGAAAACATCGTAAAAATCAGATGCACAAGTTCAACTGTTTTAAATGTAAAGCACAGCTGTTTAGTGAGGAAGCAAAATATAATAGATAGGACAGAACAAGAAAGGCTATTAATAAGCTTTCATTGCGCAAAAGTATTATGACATGATCATGAAAGAGCTGCACAAAGTGCTTATGCTCATCGCGAGCGCTGAATGAACACGGAGTCACAGGGCGGCGCGCAGTTCTTCAGTGTCCGCCGCATTAAGCACCAAGGAAAGAGAAAGACATATTGACTGTGTATTACACAGTATCTATGCAATAGTTTATTAAGACTTTTCTTTTAACAGTTTTAAATTTCAGTTAGGCTACTGTGCACGTGAAGAACAATTATACTGCGCCGACTCTATAGTGTTGTGATCTAACAGACACTCAGTAGAAACTAGAAAGTGATTAAGTTACAGCAATAAAAGTCAAGCAAGATAGACAAACCATCATAGACCTTTATCTACGGATCAATTATAATAATAACATTGAATCATCTTGGAAAGAGATCATCATGTGTTAACTGTTGTAACGCGACGGGCTGTTTGAACACCGAATAGAGAATGACTGACAGCCGCAGTGGAGGGAAAAGCTTAGGTTAACTTGAATTTAATGACTTAAATATACATTTCTATCTCACATTATACTATAGTATGGCTTCATAAAGTATACACGATTAACGTAGGTCACCTATTTTGGGTTCAAAACGGCGAATTTACCGAAAGGTGAATGATTTTCGTGTATGCTGCATATTGATAGCGGTTTCCTGATGCCCGCAAATTAGTTCAAACTCACGGAATCAAGAGCGCGCATGCGAGACAGAAGATAATGTGCTCCAAACCGTCCGTGTTGCGCGCGCGAGACAGGGAAGAGCGGCGAGGGAGAGAGACTGCGTGTGTGCCTCATGAAGCGCATGTAAGAAGCGCATGTTCCATGTAAACAATCCCCGTGACGTAATCAGACCAACTAATCGATAATGACATTCGTTGACAACGATTTTCATAATCGATTATAATCGATTTTATCGATTAGTTGTTGCAGCCCTACACTTAAGCATTAATTCATACTACTTAACTAATGCACAGATAATCACGAGTCAATGTATGACACAATTATACTGCATCTGCAACTAATAACGTCTATATTAATATTTTAAGTAATATATTAATTAATTGATTAAATGTGCCATAATGTATTAATTCATGAATAATATATTTTATTAACAGTGTAAATAAATGTGTAAATTACCACAATGTGTCAAAGCTATGTACTTCAGTTGTTGGCTTTAATTAATCATTAGCTTATGATTTGCAAGGGTATCATTATTTAAATATTACTAATTGTTAAGTAATATGTCATAGTACAATAATGTGGAAGTCAAAACCAAAATGACATAGCCTATTGCAATTAGTTAATAGTCAATACATTACATATGGCATACAATATCTGTGCAATGTGCATTGTTACCACAGTTCTCCGAAATTAAAGTTTGCCTTTCTTTTGAGTTTTTGTAAATAATGATCTCATGTTTTTGTTTTATAAGGGCAGGCATCAACAGTTGAGGAAATGTCCTTGATAAATCTCTCAACTGCCTGGAGGAAAAGCAGATACCGGTAAGGACATACAGTCATATACTGTATAATGCAATTTTTATAATGTGCAGTGTTTCAATCCCCGTGCGACTTGCAACCGTCATGGGGATACACTGTTAACCTTTTTTGGGTTTAAACTAAAATACTGTTCCTCTAATTTCAGATTAATAGCTTGTCCAATGATGGAGAAATACATTTAAAGGACAATGGGAAAGGATCATGGAGAAGTAAGTTTTTATATTAGCAGTTCTTTGGCAGAATCATGTGTTATTTTATCTGGATGTTGTCACAGACAAGTTGATGAAGTTGACTATCCATCCGTCTGTCTGTTTAATTAGAGATGTGTGTGATGACTAATTTTAAAGTCATTTAAACAGAGGTTTAGTAAGCGACTAGGCTTGCTACGATAGTCGGTGTTGAGGCAGGCATACACGGTGCAAGTTCGGACACTCGTAATGGAGGTCGTAAGATATTGCATTTCAGGAGTCAGTTAACTTGATAATCACGTCAAAACAGCCGGTACACGGCACGACTGTCCTGCACAAATCTTATCTAATATTAATTTCTGTCACTGCTGTGAACTGACCACTGCATAGAATATTAAAAATATGAATATCTTCGTGAATCAGCTGTCAACAACAGGCCTAAACCAGCCATGGTACCAGCACAAAAACACAATCATTAAAATATCGAGACATATTTTTGTCAATATTGCGCACCCCTAATGTAAGGTATTTTTTTTTTTTTTTATTTCTTCAGGTCTTAACAATCCTTAAATTTGCCTTTTAAAAAAGTGTGCATAAACCCTACTGGTGAAAAACAGGCAGACTCCCCGAATTTTTTAAACATGTTTTAAAATTATCGGGAAGTGCTCGGCTTGGCTCGTAATTCCTCTCACACGTTGCGAACATGTGAGCACCATCGATATCCATGCGATCATCGGCGAGCGCGTAAATCTTGAGCCGAACAAGAGTCGACACACAGATCAGCAACATGAGTCAGTTTCTTTCATCACAAGAGTGAGGAGCTGACTGACAAGGTGACTGCGGAATAATGTGTCACAGCGAAATGTAAAAGCGCCTATTTAAGTGAATTTGTCATTGCACTGTTTTGTTGTTGTGTAATTTAAAAATGAAACTAACATGTGCACGGCCACACGTGTCAACGTGCACGGACTGAGCAGAACAGAAATGTACAGAACTCCCTTTGACATGTGTGGCCGTGCACATGTTAGTTTTGTTTTCAAATTAGCACCAATTCACCTTTGGCTAAGCCCCGCCCCCCTAAGTTACTGTTGTTACATCTGTCAAACTTCATCTGCACTCTGCATGGCTTATGCTGTAACAGCTCTTCCTGCTGAAATGTTATCAAACTTTTATAAAGCAGCAAATAAAGTGTCCGATAAAAGTAGGCAAAAGGGGCTGCAATATGCGTTCAAAGGCTATATTCAAGACATACAGGTGAAACGCAAGAAACAACAAGGCATCCAAATACGTTTACGTTTGCCTTTAAATTAGCTTTTTAAAAGCCCCGCCAGTGATACCGGTATTGCCGGTGTTGTCCACACGTTGATTAGCCGGTGGGAAAATATCCTCGCCGTCTCATACCTATAACTGACTAGTCTAAAATTAACAAACCCCTGCAGTTAAAATAGGAACACTGTGTACATCTGATTCAATTAAAACACTCAATTTACCATTCCAATATGCAATATCCAAATGTGATATTAAATATTTAGATTTTTCTATATGTTTAAATCCTTCCTGACCTTTGGAATCAACACCAGGCCGACAGTGGAACCAGTGTGACATCTAGATATGACAAACTATATATATTGACGATCATGTGTCCCCAGTGAAGCTGACTTTTAATTTTACGGGCGGCCCTGAGCACACAGCGCTCCTATTCTTCGTCTTCATTAGTTTATGCTCTCTGTTTAACAGTTTTGTCTAATACGTTACTGGATATAACCTGTTGTTGGATAGAACAAAGAAATTAAACTGTATAAGAAAAAGTATTATAGTTTTTGCTTTTATATTATTAGTAACAAACAGGCAAACACTATTAATAGTTTCTCATATTCAGCAAATATACGCATTTATATAATTTAAACAAATCTTTGAATATTAAAAAAAAACCATTTAATTTCACAATCCTTGCAGACTTTGTCGAATCCAGCTGTCAGATATTCTGAAGTGCACATAGACGTTCAATCCCGGTCAGTCCGTGTGAATAAGTTCAGCTTCACTGGGGACACATGATCGACAAACTTTAAACCTTTGATTTCAAACTATGCTGGCGCTATATTCAGTTGCCCTCTGCCATATTCATGTCATTTACACTGTGTGCTAAATGTAAAATGAGTGTCACGTTGTCTTTATTTGAAAAAAAAAAAATGTGGTTCCTAGTGCGCACAAACTTACTGAGTGCCAGGTTGATTGCATTATCTTTTTATTCATATTTTTTTCAAACAATTTCTTTATATGTGAAAAATACTGTAATAGCATATAATTACAGAATCAAGAAGTTACAATCTAAAATAAGGATGTTAAGGATGTTTAATTTATAGATGTTTTTAATTCATTTGCAGATTATTTATTTAAATATCAATTCATATCTTAGTATATCAGACATGTATCGATCGTTGCCAGTCTTAATTTTCTTGATAGTGCAAGTGCATCTCAAAATTGGTAAGATCACGATTATGATCATGTATCGTGATTGTTTCTTATAAGATTGTGATATGAAATTTTGGTAAGAATGCCCACACCTACTCTAACTGTTGTTTTTACATTCAATCTGATGTCTTTTAAATGTTCATTTAGCTTAAGATTAACATTTTTGCTTGGAATGTCTGATCGCCATTTGTGAACAGCATCAAAAGAAATATCTCTCTTTTGATGAGTTACAGCATGTACATGCAAGAATGTTACATGTGTATGGCCCTTAAAGCTAGGGTAGAATTTTTTTTCCAAAAACTTGTTGAAAGTGTGTTCCTATCCTGGTAGCTACTGTATATACATATATAGGATGTCCTACCTGTTTGTCAATATATATATTTGCATACCTCTACGCAACTTGTTTGCAAAGTGAAACGTCATCAACGTGTTCAATATATGCATAGAAATAGAGAATAGAAGCCAAACATTAGCGATTTCTCTTGAACCAACATTTGAAAAGGGTTTTATTAAAAAAAAAAAATAATAATAATTATGAAATTGTATTTTTGCTAAATGTTTTTTTTAACCTTTTTTTTCATTATTCACATTCATTATTATTGTAATGTCTCACCAGTGAATGAGACACGAGTTAATCTAAAAGCATTGCACTCTCTTCCACCAACTCTTTGGTTATTTGGCTTTTGAGATGCTCTGAATCATATCGATTGCTTTCCAAGCTAGCTTGCTATTGCTAGCCCCTCTGAAATGTCCTACCCTAGCTTTAAGACTGTTTGGAATTCAATGTTTTAATGCTTAATGTAGTGCATCATATCTTATATTCCCTATAAATTGTATTTTTCAAATATTTCTTACAGAGTGTCTAGAGGACTTCAAAGGAGACGGAGGCAAACATTGGAGCGGCTGTCGCCGTATGTTTAAAATATGCCCCAGACAGGCAGGGGCGGAGGTTGCAGGAAAAAAAAATTGTACGATTTTAGAATAAGGATAATAATGTTAAGTATAAATGGTTGAAAACCTTCTGTTAAAATAATGTAAAAAAAAAAAGAATAAAATAAAAGGTTATTTTATAATCCATTTAATTTCTTTGTCATTTATCTAATAAACATCATTTGTGGATTACAGTTCACTAAAAATTAAATTACTTTTCTGTTTGCTCTTGTCTTAAGATAAATACTTTTGGGTTGTCTTGCATTGGATCTAGACCTCTGTTCGAACCTTGTTGTTACATGAAGTTTCTTTTGATGAAACTTCATGTAGTTTTATGTCATGCCAACAAAATTACCATATATTTCTTTAAAGTTGGAATTTGACAGCTTAATGTTGTGTTTTGACAGATATCTGACATCAAAAATTCATTGTCTGTCCACGGTTGGACGTCAGCCCAACATGTGAGTTTGATGTTTAGCTTAACATTGGGGTCTGACACTTAAAACTGATTCATTTTAAACCAAAAGGCAATGTCCAACGTTGGAGGTTTACCCAACACCGGGTTGACGTAACTCAACGTCAGACTGACGTTTATCTTCAATGTTGGACAGACGTTGCAATTTGGTTGAAAATGGAAATCGGGTTGATGTAAAAACCCAATGTCAGACTGACGTCAACATCCAATGTTGGACAGATGTTGCATTTTGGTTGAAAATTAAAATCGGGTTGACGTCATAACCCAACGTCAGTCTGTCGTCAATATCCAAAGTTGGACAGACGTTGCATTTTAATTGGATATGAAAATCGGGTTGACGTCATAACCCAACGTCATAACCCGACGTCAGTCTGTCGTCAACATCCAACGTTGGACAGATGTTGCATTTTGGTTGGAAATGAAAATCAGGTTGACGTCATAACCCAACGTCAGTCTGTCGTCAATATCCAACGTTGGACAGACGTTGCATTTTAATTGGATATGAAAATCGGGTTGACGTCATAACCCGACGTCATAACCCAACGTCAGTCTGTCGTCAATATCCAACGTTGGACAGACGTTGCATTTTGATTGGATATGAAAATCGGGTTGACGTCATAACCCAACGTCATAACCCGACGTCAGTCTGTCGTCAACATCCAACGTTGGACAGATGTTGCATTTTGGTTGGAAATGAAAATCAGGTTGACGTCATAACCCAACGTCAGTCTGTCGTCAATATCCAACGTTGGACAGACGTTGCATTTTAATTGGATATGAAAATCGGGTTGACGTCATAACCCAACGTCATAACCCAACGTCAGTCTGTCGTCAATATCCAACGTTGGACAGACGTTGCATTTTGATTGGATATGAAAATCGGGTTGACGTCATAACCCAACGTCATAACCCAACGTCAGTCTGTCGTCAATATCCAACGTTGGACAGACGTTGCATTTTGATTGGATATGAAAATCGGGTTGACGTCATAACCCGACGTCATAACCCAACGTCAGTCTGTCGTCAATATCCAACGTTGGACAGACGTTGCATTTTGATTGGATATGAAAATCGGGTTGACGTCATAACCCAACGTCAGTCTGTCGTCAATATCCAACGTTGGACAGACGT